TCCTTCAAGCTCCAGGCTCATATAGCTGACTGCCTGGAGGACACCTCCCTCTGGGTGTCCCTTGGGTTTCTTGTATTAATTTCTGGTCAAACCTGTTTTTCTTCTGCCATTTCTCACTTCTATGGATGGCCTACTAAGCACCTCAAACCCAGGCAGCATCAATTCTTCCATTTCCCCATATCTAATCAATTATTTCCTTCTATTGATTTTACTAACCCACCAGCTCTCGACCCTGTCTTCTCATTTCTGTCTCCACTGCCCCTGCCCTAGCTCAGGCTTCAAAAATGCTCATGCTGCAGTCATAGGATCTATCCAAGAGACAAATATGGCCATGTTACTCCTCTGCCCCAAACTCTCTGATGGGTGGGCAGTAATTTCCAAACTATGGTCAGGAGGTAGAGGAAATGATAATAGGGGACCCTCAAGCAATCTGGTCCTGCCAGAGTACCACTCTCATCTTTTTAATACATTGGGCTTCTGCATGAACACTTCGCTTGAAACCACTGACCCAATGTCCGAGCATCTTAACTTAATAGGTAAGCACAGGGTGTTTCAAATGATGTGTCACTTCCCAACAGGCTACTCTGCTTGATGTCCCATGTCATTTTTGAGGACTCCAAAGTTATGCACAGATTTTTGACTGTGTGTGGGGATCAGTGTCCCTCATCCCCACATCATCCAAGGGTCCACTGTACTCAGGGGAGTCTGTCAGGCCCTGGAAGCTTCCAGCTATGACTTCTGAGTTACTGATCGCCACATCTAAGAGATCCTTGGCAAACAGATGGGGCCCTCCTGAGGGGTGGTCTGGGGCAGCAGACCCCAGCTCTCACTGGAGACCCTCTTGCCTCCTGATTTTCACCTTTTGCTCTTTTCCGCATTTTCTCACACCCAGATCCTGGCCTGCTGGTACCTGCCATCCTTATCCCCCTGCCTGTGGTCCTCTCCTCCCCAAGGTCCCTCCCTCCTCCAGTGGCTCCAGGCCCACACGCTGGTCCCGTCCCCACCCTGGTTTGAGGCTGACCTGCCACACAGGGTCCGTGTGCTTGCCAGACTTGGCTGAGCTGAGGAAGGAGGGCTGGGAGTGGGGCTTCTTGAGGTTGTAAATGGCCACGTTGCCGTCATAGTGGCCCACTGCCACAAGGTAGGGGTGGTCCACGTGGATGTCGAGACACATGATGCCGCTGTTGCTGCTGAACATGTACTCAGGGAAACTGGGGTTCTTCATGCTGTAGAGCAGCAGCATGCCCCGGCTCTGCTTCATGAAGTCATCTACCCAGGGAAGATGGGCAGCTGAGGTTGGAGGATCCAACTGCCCTGGCTGGGAAGCCCCTCATCCCTACCCCACTAGATGGGCAAGCCCTGCTCTGCTTTATGTCTGTCAGAGTGTGTGAGATTCTTCTCTGGACTTTATCTTTTCCATCTGTGAAGTTAATTTATGAGATCTGACTTTTCCCTTCTCAAAGTTCATGGAAGGATCTACAACCAATCAAGGTGACTAGGTTTATTCTCCCCAAGGTGCAGGAAAGGGGGACGTGGGATCAGAGAGCTTCTAAGTGAAAAAGATGTGTGAGCTTGGGAAGAAGCATTACCCTCAATGGGGGTTTGAATGCCCAGCCCAGGAGCAGGCAGCTTTCCATAGATGCCCGGATGATGCCCATGTACCCCTCCCCCCTGCCAAGTACAGGTTAAGCTTGAACATGGAATTGTCTACAGTAAGTCCCAAACTAGCCACGTATGAGCATATCCCCACAGTCCCAGGTGCAGCCTGAGCCCTAGATCTAGGCACGCTTCCCAAATCCAGAAGTCCCAGGCCAGCCATTCAGACTTCCACAGGCCCACCTGGCCTGGGCACAGTTTTTGGTGATCAACAATGGACCACTCAGCAGAGGCCCTTGTCCCCGTCAGCCCCATGTCAAGGGAGTGCCTCCCACTCTTTCTTTCATTTTCTGTATACTTGGCACCCATCCTGATATGTAGTCATGAACATAGTTCCAGCCCTCCTGCCACCAGCTCAGTCCTCCCAGCCTCTTCACCAAGCTCAGGGGAGCCAGAGCTGGAGAGGTGGAAGGCTGGTGCAGACTCCACCTGGGGGCACTCTGCCAAAGCAGAGGGCATGTAGGGGTATCAGGCAAGATCAGGAGGAAGTAGATGCCAAGCTACAGAGACAAGGATACCAGTCCAGCTACTGACTGACAGCAGGCTTCCTCTCCTCCTGTGCTGTCCTAAATGAGTCTAGCCCAGGACTAGCTCCAAGACAGCAGCTGTTTAATGACTCCCTTATTAAGTCATGCAAAAGGCACTTAGAGGGGCAGGTGGAAAGCAGAATAGGCCCCCCCTGCAAAGATGTCCAGATCCTAATCCCCTGAACCCATAAATATGTCACTTTTCATGGCAAAAAGGATTCTGCAGATGTGATTAAGTTAAAGACCTTGAGATGGGAAGATTATCCTGGATTGTCTGGGTAGACTCTATGTAATCACAAGGGTTCTTATAAGGGAAAGAAGGAGGCAAGAGAGTCAGGAAAGGAGATGCAACCATAGAAGCAAATGTCAGAATGATTAGATTCCTTGCTGGAAGGGGACCACAAGCCATGGAATGTGGGCAGCCTGTAGAAACTGGAAAGGACTGGGAAATGGCTGCTCTCCTGGAGCTTCCAAAGGGAATACAGCCCTCTTACCACCTGGTTTTGGTTCCGTGAAACCTATTTTGGACTTCTGACCTCCAGAACTATATGATAATTTTGTGTTATTTTAAGCCATTAAATTTGTGCTAGTTTGTTACAGAAGCAGTGGGAAACTAATATAGTAGACATCTGGGGAAAAATGACCAAAACCTACTTTTAGGAATTAGAGAGAGAGAGGCTTTCATAGATGGTACTATTTTTTTCTGGGATGGTTTGGAAGCCATCCCTCTAGAAGTCAGCTGGATGGATGTAATGCTCCTTCGCTCTTCTGATGACAATAATGAAACCCTCTCTCCATTTCCTATACCTCAGCCTTGCCACCTTGGACTCCAGGAATAGAAATGCCCCTTATGTTAGGACCTTCATAGTTTCCAAAGGCAGGGGACCAGCCCAAGGCTGCTCTAAAAAAGGGTATCAGTTGCTAGAGGGTTCAAAACCTCAAGCATGGCCCAGAGGCCATGATGCCAAGCTGGGCTCAGTCTCTTGAGCAGCTGGGCTTTTCCAGGCACTCTCATTCAATTCAAAGTCATATTTAAACAGTGTGGAAATAAGAGCAAGGCCTTAGAGACAGAATACATCAAGCGGGACATTTAATTTGATTTAGAGAAAATGAAGCAAACATTTGAGAACCTAAATAACTAACCAGTAATTAAACTAACAACGGGAATGCCCTTGCACTACAACCCAGCAAGCACAGTGGCCTTTGTGGACTGTATTTACAAAGAGACCTGACAACATAATTAGTCCTGTAAATTTTACGCAGCCTGCAGCCGAGGAGTGATGGATTTTGTGTGTGGAGGATGAATGAGGAGAAATGAGGTGGATGAATTTCCATTTTCAGTAAATGAAATTAACACTGCTTAATTAGTGAAGCTGACAAATAAATGATCAGGAAAGATTTAAATCCCTACACAAGTATCTCTGGCCTGGGCAGGCTCAGGGACAGGCCAGGATGAGTGGTGGGACAAAGTGCAAATAGATGTAGTGCTGGAACTCAGAGCCTGACATTGGCCCCTTTTGAGGGTGCTGTCCCCAGAGAGAGGCTGGGCTGGGGGACAGCTGGCTCCCCTGCTCTTCCAATACATGGCTGTCTGGAAAGCTTCCTGCCTCATCTCCTGTGTGACAGCCTCAGGATCACACAGAGCATCCTGATCTGTTCCACTATCCATGCCTGGCAGACCATGAGGAGTCCCTGTGTCCCTGCTATGAACTGGCTAATGGGCTGGAAAGGACCCCTTCAGTACAGCCAGCTGACATAATTGCATCCCAGCAATCCCAAGGCCATATCTTCCTGGGCTAGTTCCTTTGCCTTCCAACCTTCCTCCACCTGCTTTGTACCTACTGACAGCCTCTTTCTCCACTCTGCTGGCAACGTGGAACCTGGCCCTAGGGGGCATCCCAATCTTTGCCCTTTAAGCAGCCTAATGTGCTCACTACCTGGTACCCAGCAGCTACAGAGGGGAAGCATGAGGGGATATTTCTGTGCTGCTGCAGGCAATTGCCCAGATTTTCTTTTCTCTACCTGCTTGTTCCTGGCTGGCTCTAACCAAACTGGCCTATCCCAGAAATGAGGGATTGGCCCCAGTCCTTCCTAGGGTACATACCTACCCCTGCCAAAGTTATTTTTGGCTGAGTCACAGAATAAATATCTGGGAATAAAAAAAGGAGGTTTATGAGGTCTAAACTAAGCGCGCCAAAGTCAAACCCAACAATAAATCCAAATTCTTACTCCAGTGTTTGTCCTTCTGAGGCAAAATCTGATTCTGGGAGGGTGGTATCTGGAGCTTCCAAAGACAGTGTGATGGATGCTGGTGAGACCAGCTGCTCCTCACAGTGACCCACAGCCAGCAGCTAGGGTGCCTTCTGCCTGCCCCAGTTTCGCCCTCTTTCTCCTATGGAGTCACTCAAGAGCATGGGATTCTCGGAGGCAAGCTCAGGATGGATACAGGGGCCTTCCTGAGGCCCAGCCTAGCCTGGCTCTGTTCAGGCCTCTGCAGGTGGTTCTAAGATATGCAAAGCTCTGGAGAATAGATGCTCATCTGAAAGCCAGCCAACAACCCCTGAACCAGTGACAACAAAAGCCAATACCACTGCCGCTGCCGCTGGGCCCTGCTCCCTAAGAGACTCCCCTCTGTCCCCACAGCCCCCTTCTCTGCTTAGGCCCCCTGAGGGTACTGCAGGAAAGCTAGGGTAAAGAATGACAGACAAATCAGCAGTCATTGTCCTTTATGTGTAGGTGGTTCCTCCGCTTGCAGCATGTTTACTTCTCTCTCAAGCATACCTCACAATAGCCCTGGAATGGAGGCCTGGCAGGTTGTCAGCCATTCTGTGTCACCAATGAAGAAACCAAGGCTCAGAGAGGCTTCTGGTCCCAGGTATGTCACCAGGAAGTGACACCTCCACCCCTAGGACTGTAGCTGATGATGGGTACCACTCAGGCACGTGGATGTAGCTAACAGGATCAAGGAAGGACAAAGAGACCTTTCCCAGGTAAGCACCTACCCAAAGGACGTTGTGGGCTTGTCAGGCTTGAGGTCATCTGCTGGTGGGAGGTGAGTTACTCTACTGCTCCTGTCCAAGGTTGCCCAGCTCCCCAGCCCCCACAACAGCCTCCACATGACCCCGATCAGCTGAGCCTGCATCTGAACCTGGGTGGGAGGAGGATGGGGCTAAAACTGAAGCAGTTTCTCCTCCCTCCTTCTGGGGAGCAACCCCTACACCCCTGCCTCAATCCTGGGCAGAGAGCCTGGGCTGAGAGCAGCGTCACAGGGGGTCCACACCCACTCCTGGAGGGGCCTGCCCAGCCCCCAGGCCCCATTCCAGGCCCAGTAGCTGCAGCAGAGGGGGCGGAATGTGCTAGTTCCCTGCCAGAAGGGGGAGGGCACTTCCCACTTGGCAGCAGCCCACCCTCAGGAGTGGGGACATAAAGCAGGCATTTAGGGCATCCTCAAAGGCGGCCCAGACCACAAGACTGGGAGCAGCTCCAAGATCTCCTCCCTGAGAGGAATGACAAACACCCCCTTCCCCTCCCCACCCTGGTCAAAGAATGGGTGGACAGGCAATCTGAGGGGCAGTGATTGGGAGCTTGTATGCCTGCCAGCCAGCAGCAGCTTGGAGAACGGAAAGGTTTTTGTGTTTGCAGAAGCTGATCCTCCCAGCCAGAGAAGCCGTTAGCACTGGGGAGCTGAGACTACTGTGAAGTGTAGGGCCCTCTCCCGTTGGGAAGGAGGAATGTCCAGGCCAGCACAGCACTAGGGCCTTCTTCTGGGACCAAGTCACATGAAGGGAAAGCAAATCGCCTGGACACAGTTTCCACTGTCCTGCCTTCTGGCCTCAGGTGGGTAACTAGCAGGGGTAGGTACACTCTGGACAGCAGCGGGCTACCAAAGCTCAGGGGCTCCCATCCCCCAGGCCCCCACCCACCCAAATCAGGAAGGCCTGAGGAAGATGCACAAAGGGGCCTCCTCCTCCACTCCACCGTGTGGTAAGGTCCTATCCTCTCTCCTTGGGATGCCTGCACCAGTCTCCTAACTGGTTTCCTGGCCTCCAGTCTCACACCTGCAATGCTTGCAATTCCTCCATGCACTGTTCATGTCCCTGTCCTTCTTGAATTCTTTCAGTGGTTTCCCCTCAGGAAAAGGTCTAAGCTTTTTGGAATGGCTTACCAGGCCCTTTGAGGGCTGACCCTGGCCCTGCCAGCAGCTTCATATTCTGCCATATTCATCATGCCTCCAAGCCTTTGCATCTGTGGGTCCCTCTGCTGGAAGTGTTCTCCCCTCTTTCTTGGCAGAATAACTCCTTCTAGCCTCCATTGGCACATTCACTTTAGAATATTCCTTTACCCAGCACCAATTGCCAGTAGGATTGTGGGTCTTCCCCATTAGACTGTGAGCCCCTGCGGGCAGTAACTATGTCCAAGCCATCTTTGTATTTCTTACAACTGGCAAAGAGCCCTGCACAGAGTAGGTACTTAGTGTTTGCTGTTTACATGAACAAATAAATGAATAGCCAGGTCACTTACAGGAGCCATATCCCACTGCAAACAGATCCCTGTACTTTGGATTCCTGCAAAAGAAATATGAATCCATTGGCATAGGGAATGAACATGGCCCTCCTGTGGACAAGGGCCTTCCCATGGGCACTGCCTAACTATACTACAGACATCTATTCTCCAGCTTAGACCCTCAGCAACTGGGAGTCCTAGGGGTGGTCCTGTGATCTCATTAGAATCCAAGTTCCATATTTTTTCATACTGCCACACATCATACTCAAGGTGGTTAAGTGCAGAAGGGGCTACTGGGGTTCTGGCATGTAGAGGGTACTCAGGGGCTCTGGGTTTGCTGCAATTCCTATACCTACCAGCAGAGGGCGGTGACGGACAGGCGCTTGGCTTTGTCATTTTGGAACTTCCAGAGCGGCAGCAGGGTACCCTCCTGGTCCCGGTATTCATCAGCAGCATCCTCGTAGTACTTAAAATCTTACACATACACAGGCAGAGTCAGCCCTAGAACTGCCACTTTATGGCAAACCAAGGTCTACCACTTGTCTGTACCTCCTTGGGCAAAACAATGAACCTCTGTTTTAGAGTGGAAATAATAATACTATCTATCTTAGAGCTCTGTTGTGAGGATGTAGTAATAGAGTTAATATACACAAAGAGCTTAGAAAAATGCCTGGCACATGGTAATCTCTATGTGTTAGCTACTGTTACTGTCACTGTTGTTGTTGGAGGTACATTATAATAAAGCAGCCATGTCTATCTGGATAAAATCCCAGGTTTTGCAGCCCTTGTTCCCATGTGTTTCCCTAGTACTTCAGGGGCTCCATTTGGAGCAGCCAAATTTCAAGGGTTCAGTTGCCGGGGCTGATTAAGAGTTCTATTAATTCTGCCTCCAAAATCCCTAAAATGCAGCCCATTTTCATATCCACAGCCAAGCCTCACTATTATGAAGCTGCCTGGGTCCCCCAAGGGTTCTCTGAACTCAACTTCATCTCCTGCCCACAAACTATCTCTGCCTCCCATTTTCTTTAAGTTAGATAGATGCCCCATTCTTCCACTTGTCTAAACCAGAAACTGAGTAATCCTTGACTGATTTCTTTCCATCATTTCTCATATTTTCCTTCTGACTATCTTTTCAATTCATTCACTTCTCTCCAAACCCATAGCCCCTGCCCAGGTTCAGGCCCCAACACCCATCACCTGTATTATGACAACATCCTTCTAACTGGTCTCCTACCCCCAGTAACTCTTCCTCCAACCCTTATTTCACAGAACATCCAGAGTGAGAACAAACAAATCACCTCACCACACCCCTTTCCTCACTCCACTGAAAGCCCCTCAATGGCTTTCCTTGCAGAGGAGATCAAACCAAGGCTCCTGGCTGGCACTTCCACATTTTTTCTAGTCAGCTGTTCATGTCCCCTCCATATCAAATCATGCCAATGAGTCTAGTTGTCTCCTGTTCTGTGTGTTTCTACATTGTTTTCCATGTCTAAGATGTCCCGTTCTTCCTGGCAAAGTCCTACTCACTCTATTAAACTCTTCCTCTTCTGCAAGGCCTTCATTTTCTTTTGAGCAGTAATTTCTTCCTCTGTTCCAGCCCTGCCTCTCCTCTACTGAAGCATCTGTCACACTAGGTCGCCTCTATCCTTTTGCCTGACTTCCCCACCCAACAGAACCTGAAGAGCAGGAAGCATATGTATTCATCTCTGGATCTCCAGTGCCTAGCACAGGGCCAGCCACAAAACAGACAACCAAAAACTGTTTAAAGAATGCAGTGAAATTAATCAACAGAAGTGAAGTAGTTCTTGGTCTTCTGTCAACAAGGGGTGACCAATTAGAAAATGAATCCTGTCATTCAACGAAGCCAAGGACATGCCTAGGCATCGCCCTGACATCTCCTATAGCGCCCATGCCTTGAGGTTGTGGGACTTCACTCAAACCTCAAAAATGTCTCAGAACAAAAAAGATTCCAGTGGTCAGAGAGGCATGAGCCTTGATCATATCAGAGATTCCCCAGCTTGGGTTATCTTTGAAAAGACTTCAATTCAGAGCAGAGATTAATTGGTAACATTTCTCTATTTTCATGTCTCCTTCATGATTACACTTTCCCAAAGGGGAAAGAGTACGCAATTAAAACAATCAAAGTTCAATGCATTTTTATGTGACTGTGTTCTTATAAATGAAAGTGGTTCACCAAGGCCAATTTCTCCATGGATATTAATCAGGTTTGCAGCCCTTTGGTGGGCCACTTGCAGAGGCTGGGTTTCAGGAAGCCAAGCTGTGTGAGTGACAAACTCATTCACAGCTGCTGTGTTCTTTGACAGCTTTGAAAAGCACTCAAGGTCATTTTCCAGCCTGAATGATAACGAGGGGGCTTGTTTAGGCTGCTGGTTTTGGCAGCCCTGGTTTCCGTGTCCCACGGGTGAGCAATGAGCATCAAGTCACCAAGAAGAGCCCTAGGCTGTCAGCAAAGGAGACCAGCCAGTGTCGAGGAGCTGCCAACTCTGGGAAGGCAGCTGCTCCAAATAAATGCACAACCTCTTAGGGAAATACAAGCCACTTGGGAATTTGCTGTTCATGCCATGGGAAGGATTCTGTTTCCCTGACACTGTCAAAGCCACCAGAATTTCCCAGGCCCCCAGGATTTAAGCATTTCTGAATCAATCTCTTTCTTCACCTCATCACTAATTAATCACCATGATAGATCTATTGAGTGTGTTTATTTGAAATGTCTCTTCCAGCTCAGTGGCTTTGCAGCCTAGTGGTGAAGTGCTTAGGCTATGGATCCAAGGGGCCTGTCTCGAGTTCTGATTCCACCACTCACACCTTATGATAGCTGTGACTTTGAAAAAGTGGCAACATTCCAGCCTGAGTTCCTTGTCTATAAAATGGAGCTGATAATGGTATTCACCTCACAGTGTGGCTATCAGGAACAAACAAAATAACAACACATAAATTGCATAGCACAATGTCTGATACACAGGCCACTCCCAGTGAATGCTGGAGCTTGTTTCTCATTATTATAGCTGTTCCCCTTTCTCCATCCCTTAAGACACAGGCTGGGTCAGGGGTGATAAGGCCCATTCCACCCTACATTTGAACCTCACCTTAACCTCTGCCCTGTATTGTACCCAGTCACACCCTCCTCCAGCCTTGATCTCATCGAGCTGTGTCCCTGCCTAGAAAGCTTCAGTTCTTTGAACTGTCTGCAGAGATAACTCATATTCCTTGCATGATATTCAAGGCCTTTCATAAATGGGCTCCAACCACTTCTCCTGCCTGAACTCTCACCTCTTTTCTACGAAACCCTGTTTGGGTCAGGGAGCCTGCTGCCCTTTGTCCCCAGAGTCCATTCCTATTCAGTTTCACTGCCACGACACTGCTCATCATGCCATTCCTGCCCAGAACATCCTTCCTGTAGCTATCTTCTCTCTCACACTCCACTTCTCCCTTGGCATCTAGCTCAGCCCTCTCCAAAGCCTCCTTGACTACTCCCACTCATCCCTCACTTTCCTTCTTTCCTACTTGAGGTTCCCCAGAGCAGTTTCTGTCTACTCCATACATTCCGGCACATATAGCATTCCCAAGGTGCACTGAGTGGAGTACACGGAATAGAATGAGGAAGCTCAAGACCTCTATTTGGGTCCTCTCTGCCACTCACTAGTCAGGTGGCCTTAGCCTTAGCTTCCTCATGTGTAGTAAGGGCAAGTCTCTGCTCTGCCTGCCTCCCAGGGTTATCAGGAAGATGAGACTGGATCACCAATGTACAGGTATTCTTTGCTGCACCATTGTCAGACCTCATCAGTATACCCATTGTTTCTTATGCCATCAGTCATGGTTAATCCACATAAGTCTTGTCTCCTCAGTGACAGCCAGAGGTCGGAAGGATTATTTTTTTCTCCACTTGCACCTGTAGGACCTAGCATGAGATACCCAAATACCCCAAGCTTTTATGAGAAATTTTTAATACAGGCAATAATAGTGGTTGCCAGCACTTCAACTCTTACCTTGAGCAACATCATCATATGTATTCTGGTTGACCATCCGCTCCACGATCTTAGCAGCTTGGGACACTTTGGTGATATCATCAGTCTGTGGGGATACAGAAACCTCAGGTCCTCATAAACCAGCACCTGGCAAGGTTATATGTCCTGAGCCATGTCACACTTGCAATTGTTTCGGCAGTACCTCTCTGATACCACTTACCCCAGACAGCTCTGTAAAGGTTTCTCTGCATGTCTCAAGGCCCAGCTCATGCCACTACTCTCTTCCAGGAACTCCTACCTCACAAGTGGCACAAAGGGTCTGAGCTGGCCCCTGGGTAGAACCTGCTTCATGCTTTTCATTCTGGACTTGTTTTAGAGAAAGCCTATCTCTGAGCATAAAACAGGGTATTGAAAAGAGCCCGGGAAGGGTCTGGAGGGGAGAGCAGACAAGGGCTGGTTGGAGCCTTCTTTGGTGAAGGCAGAAAAGTTTTACAAGCTCAGAGAATGACGGACTCCCATTAAAGACCAGTGTTCATCTGGTTTCAGTCCTTACTCAGTCAAAGGCTGAGGAAGACACCAAGGACCAAAGAGAGGAGAGATATGCTTATACACACAGAGTACAAGGCAGAACTGAGACTCCCAATTCTAGGCCCTCCCCACAGCCCAGACTAATGAGAAAGCAGGAAGCTTAAAATCAGGAAAACGTGACTCATCTTGAACAAAAAGGAAGCTTGCCATTGTGTGAAATTCCATAAATCCACAAGATGAGGTACATGGCAGGTTGGCAGAAGAGCAAAGAGTTTGGGACTGACAGGAAAGGCCCAGAGGGTTTAGGGCAGGTGGCAGGAGTGAGCCAGCTGAGCAGGCAGCCCTCTAGAGTGAGGCCAAGGGGCCAGGCCCATGGCTCCCGAGGATTCAATTTCCCAGGAACAGCAGCATCAGGTAGCAGTTAAGAGAATGGGTTTGGCCGGGTGTAGTGGCTCATGCCTGTAATCCCAGCACTTTGGGAGGCTGAGGTGGGCAGATCACAAGGTCAGGAGATTGAGACCATCCTGGTCAACATGGTGAAACCCTCTCTCTACTAAAAATACAAAAAAATTAGCTGGGCATGGTGGTGCATGCCTGTATTCCCAGCTACTCAGGAGGCTGAGGCAGGAGAATTGCTTGAACCCAGGAGGTGGAGATTGCAGTGAGCCGAGATTGCACCACTGCACTACAGCCTGAGTGACAGTGCAAGACTCTGTCTCAAAAAAAAAAAAAAAAAAAAAAGAGAGAGTATGGGTTCTAGAGCCACACAGACCTGCACACCTATCCCATCCCACCAATTAGAACCTGGGGGCAACCTCTGGCAAGTTACTTAGATTCTCTGAGTCTCAGAGTCTTCCTGGTAAGTGGGGGCAGATGGTGGTGTCCGCCTCATCAGGTCATTGTGATAGTTAAATATAATAATACATGTTAGTCTTTAACCCAGTTCCTGGTGGTGATGGTGTCAGAGGAAACATGCAGAGTAGTACGGTGGAGGATTATGAAGTCACTTCTGGGAGACTGACCTTTGAGAACCTTTTGCCATGGCTGAAAGAGACTCCCAAGTTTATCTTAGAAAACTGACCATCTTAGAAAACTGAACAAGGAGGACATTCATTGGAGTCTTACAGTCACAGACCTCAGAGTTCACCTGGTCCCAGCTATACTCTATTCTCTGACCCAGAGTGGGAATCATCTCCCCTCAGCAGCTTCCTGGCAAGTGTTTTCTGTGGCCAGATAGCCAGTTAGCTGAAACTACCTCCCTACACCTTCCACCCATGGGCCTAACTCTGTCCTCTGGCCACAAGGAACTGGGTGCTTGATGATAGTTCCTTTGAGGTAGGAGGACAGAGCTACATGCCCTCAAGTCAGCATTCCCTTGGGTGATTTCCCAGATCCATCAGTCATGACATGGCATATCAATAACAATAGTTACCATTTATTGATCAGTAGCACAAAAGTGCTATGTCAGGGGCTGCACTTGTATTATCTTAGGTTCTATGACAATCTTGCAAAGTAGGTATCATTAGGGTGTCTTTACAGATGAAGAAACTGAGTCCACAAAAACTGAGCTAAAAAACGGCAAAGCCAGGATATAAACCCAGGTCTGTAGGCTCCAGGGCCCATGCTCTGAGACCCACACAGCCAGCCAGTGCCTCCCTAGCCTGACCACTCCTCTCCGGTTGTGTTCTGAGGAGAGTGTTATAGGCTGTCACTTCCTTGTCCCGGATACTATGCTACTGGAACAGCCACATTTCTTTATTAGTTCTGACTAATCTTGCGGCCTGTGAGCCATTTCCTCCATTCCTGCCTAATAATTCTGATCAGACAAATTTGCATTGATTTCTGTGAATTCACCCAAATCACTGATGAGAAAGAGACCTGAGGTCCACCAAGGAAGCCCTTCCTATAGGGTATCATGAAGTTTTTCTCTTTTCTCCCCTCTAGCACACTTGAGTTTTCTACCCACATAATCAGACCCCATTCTTTGAGGAAAGGGTATCACTCTGCTCAAGCACTGAGCCTGGGCAATTGGGAAGGTGACTGTCTCTCCTACTGTGTTGCACAGACAGCCTGGCCCAGTACTTAGGATTTCTAGTTATTGCCTTGGGGAGAGGTTACACACCAAGGCAATCGCTGGGGGGGGCTGGGAAAGGGTGTCCTGCCTCCAGTGTGGACTCTTGGTCCAGAGGGTGGAATCTGCTTGCATCATAGGCTTTTTTTCCAAATCAGGTAAGCTTGAAGAGTGTGGTGTCATGGAGAAGAGTCGTCCCTCATCCCTGAGGATGTTAGACACCAACTCTGGCAAGGCTTAGAACACAGGTCAGATTCTAGTCTCAGCCACAGGGACTTTTCTTCTGGTTTCTGGGTCCTAGCAATTACAGTTGAGGTTTCTCCAACCATGGGTCTCAGCACAGAGCTCATAACCCCTGATGGATCTTCATGTGAACCCTGACCTAGGCTAGTGGCCCCTGTGAAGCCTCGAACCTCTAAAGGATGGATCAGGGGAAGCCAAGGGTCTGCACAGAGTAACTCTCAGGTCAGGAGTTCCATCTTTCACCTCAGAGTGCCAGTACCCAGCATAGCCACGATCACTAGGTACTTAGTGATTGAATAAAACAGCATTCAGACAGTTCCTGTAAAGCCAAGGCAGGGGACCCTTAAACTTCCCGTAAAATGTGACATTATCAGGATAATGAAACAGAACTGAATGGAAGTGGACACACCTCAGGCATAGGAAGCAGCACCTCCTTTATCTGGTCTAGCTTCAATTCTGGAGTGGAGCAGAACCACTATTCTAGAGCAGCCACGGGAACTCTCCAAGGTGCTGAAACAAGCCCCCAGATTCCTGTGGACATTGTCCCTCCCATGCCATTGCAAGTCAAACCCATCCTGATCCACACTGGCTCCTGATCCTGATTTCTCTCTGTTAAAGGGACAAATGTGGCCCTCCAGCGTCTCCCTGTGTTGACCTTCCCTTCAGTGACTCGCTACAGATGCATCACTGTGACTCCCATGATGATCCCAAATCTATGCTGGCTAGACCCACAGTGAGCCTCCCAACCATGACCTTTATAATGACTTCTATGTGGCTCTTCATGGCAAATATAGCCCAGGGTGGTCAAACCCATTGGTCTAGCATTGATGGTACCTGTGATCATCTCTGATCTGGCTCCCGGCCCTGAAGATTCACCTACAGTATAGGGCACAAGTAAACCCAAGTACTGAAAGTGAAAAAGCATCTCACTTTCCCAAATCCTATAAGCCCTTGCCCAGGGAAGTGGTACCTTGTCCTCACATCCCACCCCCACCCTAAGTAGACTCCCCAGCTCTTCCAGAAGACATGTAGTTCTTTCAAAAAGAAACATGTCTTCTGTTACCCTCTAGCTATATAATTCTAAAATCCTGCTAGCCTCCAGATCTATCAAACTGGGGGGAGGTATGGAATGCTAGAGGCATTTGTAGCTCTCCTCACATCTTCCCCTAAGGAAAGAACTATTTATACCTCAACATTAGCCCCTGATATAAGCATCTGTGAAACCCTCCCAGACAGCCAGGCTTCTGTTTA